TTTTGAGGTACGTTGAACCGCCTTGCCAATACGCCCTTAACCTCGAGTGTTTGTTTGAGTTGTCTTCTGCTGAACGCGAGTTGATGTTTGAGTTGGAATTGTTCGTACATTGGGAGGTAAGTTGAGTGCAACACTGTGTCGTAGTTGATGTCTCCTCTAATCATCGCTTCTGTTGTTTCGATGTCACGAATATCTGCTTCTAACTGTCCTAACACTTCTATGACATCTTCTGTTCGTGGTTTTATCATTACTCTGACTGCAGTCACACACACCACAAGTATATAGAAAATACTAAATCCCATCAATAGTATGATTTTTGCGTTCTTTTTACTTTTTTCTTTTTTTTATAATAAAAATATAGTATTAATTTACTAATAATAATAATGGTATAATACTAATAAAAATACTAAAATACTCTGGTGAATGATACACAAAAAAAGAAAAGGGAAAACGGGAATTAAAAATAGAGAAATTGAATAGATAATTTATTAGAAAGAAATTATACCTTGATAATCCATTTTTAGACGGAAGAAACGAAAGAAATTATATAAGAAACAATTGTAATGAACAACAAAATTATAAGACGGTTTCAGTCCTCTTTTGCCTTTCCTTCATCAGCCTTGACTTGCTCTTCATAGACTTTTTTGTTGGCATCATACATATCGGTATACTTCTTCTTCTCCGACTCGGAAAGATCTTTCCACATCTTCCCAATGACCCCAAGAATATCTTTTTGCTTCATTTCTGGATTCTTTTCTTTGACACTTGGTCGGACTTCTTGGCAATACAAGAGGTAAGCTGATGCTGGCTTTTTGGGTTTGTTTGGGTCTTTCTCCTTCTTTGGCTTCTTCTCCTTTTCGACCTTGGCCTTCTTGTCAACCTTCTTAGCTTTCTTGTTGTCCTTTGGCATCCAACTTGATAACTATTCTCAGTGCTTCTTTGGCTTAAATATAGTCTTTTTCCACCCTTATCAAATCATGACTTCTCTCTTTTTTGACAATTTCTCTCATTCTCTTCTTATACTATTCCCGTTTATTTACCGAAAATACGACTGTTATAAATATGTTTTCTGTTAACAGAAATGCTTTTTGGGAGTATGAACCTTTTTATCTTTTTGAATGACATTTTTCTCTTTTCATGGCCATGTTTCCCACCTTTTTTCGTGTTTACTCACCCACCTCAATTATTTGCCGCTAATTGGCGTTCTTGTGTTTTTTGTTTTTTAAAAAGTCAAAATATCAACAAGTACAATTTATAACAAAATAAATCATTAATTAACTATTTATCAACTCAAAAAACAAAACTATAACTTAAATAAAACAAACTTATATTTTATAAACTAATAAATATATAAAATTAAAAACTATAATATTACTATACTAATATTGAATTATATTAAAATTATAATAATAATATATTTTCAATACCTCAAAATTGATACTGTTAAACACCCAAAGATCTTAAAATTCATTCAACATTACTCGCTGTCCTCCTCCATCTTACTCTGGTCCGTCTCATTCCTCTCTCTCTCGAGTTCCTCTTCGTCTTCCTTTTCATTTCCGCCTTCCCTGACTACTATCTTTTCAAACTCTTCGACAAGGGGCTTCATCTCTGGCTTGACAAACTTCCTGAGACGGTTACACATATTCATGAAGGCTTCCTTGACCTCTTTGACGTGCAACTTATTCCCAAACATCTTCGCCGATTCAATCAATTTTTTCAGACTCTTTTCGTTGTAATTCAACAACGACAAACAATACGCGGTGCACCCCCATTGTTTCGGCGTTTGTTCATTCAAAGTGAACCGTTGCAATAACTTTGCCATTAACTGTTCGTGTTGTTTGTCCTTTGCGATGAACGAGAAAATGAATTTTATTATATATTCGAATTGTTTCCTCTCGATGTCTTCTTTTCCTAACGATGATATTAAGTCGGGAAGTACATTGTATATCGCGTTGGTCTTTGACGAATACTCGTGGAAAAAAGTGTGAGCTAAGTCCCTCACTCGCTCTTCCTCATCGACGAGTGCAAGTCCCATCAAATACAAATTACCTTTCACTTTGATGATGTCGTGGAATATCAACTCACTCAATACAACAACTGCGCTCCGACGAACAAGGGCACTCTCGTCCTTCAAACGACCATACAAATAACCAACCCACCCTTCAAGCAAATTGGGATACCGACAAGAATAGTCTCCAATGTAATACACAATGTTACTTCGAATCACGTCGTCTTTGATATTCTCCAAAACAGTGAATAACGTTTGCAACTGCTTCTCACAATAACTTTGACTCACCATCATGAATGAACACATCGTGTTGATCACGACGACTCGCATTGTTAAATAGATGTCTTCACTATATCGTTGCGCAATTATGTCAGTCACATACGCGTCTGTTATTTTAACAAACTCACCTAACAACCCATCTTCAAGAACTTCTCCAACGACTTCATTCATCTTTGACTCACACACGTCGTTAATCTTTTTACCCTTTTTACCTTTCTTCTTCTCAACTTCTTCAACAACCCCTTCTTTCATCGCATCATACATCTCCCCTTGCTTCCGAGCAACACCGCCCACTGTTCCAATCAACCGGACTATTTCGTTCAATCCGTTTCGTTCTTGGACATCACGTAGTTTGTGGCGGACAATCTCCCGCGCAGCTTCGTTTGGGTTTTCAACTGCTTTGTAAAGCAAATCGAGCACGGTGTGCATCACTGGCACCCATGTGTTTGTCGGGTACTTGGCATCAAGTACGTCGACAAGTTCTTTCACGATTGGATCATTCATTGCTAACTTTGGGATGTCTTCTTCACTTTCATACAACGCTTTCAATATTAAAGCACCATGGTACACGTAATTTGCAGTGCAATTCTTGACAAAACAAATTGATGTGATGAGGGGGATTTTCTCGGTGATCATTTTGGGCTTGTTGGATGCGATGTATGACAACAAAGTCATTGCAGTGATGGCCTCCAAATCCGCACCTCCTGGAAGTTTTCCAGCCATGTACGCCAATAAGTAGTCGACCTCATTCGCCGCAATCACTTTCTTGTTGATCAACAACCCCGTCAGTTTCTTCATACAAAGATCCTCCCCTATATTAGACCCATTTGCCATTAACAACAAATTGTTGATTTTACTCTGTGGACTTTCATCACACAGCGATTTAACAACACTGTCGACAATCACATTTTGAACGTCAACTTCTTTGGAAAATAACAACTCGAGCGTCTTCTTCATTGCTGTGGCACCTTTCGCGATTTTGTGTTGACAGATTGTACCAAAGAATTTAATTGCTTCTTTCAGGTCGAGCACGGTGGTAGACTCTAAGATATTCTCCACGATTGAAATGGCATTGTCAAAGCTGTCAATGAACTCAATCGAGTTCTTCACCCACTCCACAAAGTTCTTTAACACTTCCTGCTTCTTTGTTTCAAGTAATTCAGTGTCTGCAATATGTTGAAATCCAGTCCCTTCAAACAGTTGTATAATCTTCTCTGTTGGGACATTCAATTCCTTGTCCTCAACATCGTTGTCATCGTCACTATCTTCACTCATCTTGTCAGTGGTATTCTTTAACATCTCCGCAGTTTCTTGCAACTTCGACTCGAACATGTCACGCCGCAATATCACTGAATACGGGTTGAACTCTAACATACTCTCTAACAACGAAATCGCATTCTTTCTCACAGGCGTCGATTTGTCGTTTAACCTCTCAACGACTTTCTCGACGATGTTGTTAAACCGATCAAGAGGCACCGCGCGATGCTCCACCAAACTCCCCCACGTCTGTAACACTTTAATTCTTACAAAGGAATTGACATCATAAAATCTATCGAAGAGACAGTCGAACAATTTGTCATTTGGTGATGTCAAAAGTATAACTCCGTAGCACTCAATAACCCCATTTCTCAAGACGTGTTCTTGTTGATCCAAAAGTGCATGCAACAGACTCGGGAGTTTATTCACACTCTCTGGAACCAAATTTGGTAACTTTGGTAGAACTGTTGCTATGTTCTTCTGTAGCTTGCCATTGGTTAAATCAACGACTGCTATTTGTCGAAGTAATTTCTGGACGACTGTATCGTTATCTTTCAAAATGATATCAATGGACGAGATGTCGGAATCTTCACTCAGATTTTGTAACACGTTTGTAACAATTGCATCCACATGGTTGAGTGCCGTCAATTTGAGGAAAATGGTATTCACCGTCTTGTTGTCCGTCTGTTTCATCCCGTTCTGTGCGACTTTTCGTAAACACTCCAAAAAGAAGAAGTCCGTTGAGGAGAAAATAGCGTCGATGGGGACTTTAAGTAGATCATAGACACCACGTACAACAAGTGAAGTGACATCTACTGTTTGTAATAAGTATGCTACCATCTTAATAACACTCCGATACTTTCTTGTTGTTTCTGATGTCAAATTTGAATAGTCGGAGGTCGACAAAGTCTTTGCTATTTTACTCACCGATTCCGATAACATGCCATTCCTGGCAGATAGGAATAACCACCCGTAATTACTAGGAACATCATATAACAGAAAAGGTGTTGCAGCAACTTGATTCAACACGGATGAACACTTCTTTTTTAATTCGGAAGCGGAGATGTCAAAAGCATCCTCGCCAATATCAAACGACATAGAACCACCATACCCAACTTCTTTCTCTTCGTCGTTCTGTGGGATTTCAAACTCCATCAAATACCTTTAAAGATTTTTTTTCTCTTTTTGTTAAGACTTCTTCTCTTTTTTTTAGAGTGAGTGGGATTGTTGTGAAACAAAAAATGTTGAAATTTTTACAATATTTTTTTATTGTATTTATATCATATGTATATAATTTAATTATTAATTATTAACTAATATCAATATATATTTTAATATTTATAATATATATAATTATCATTACTAGATAAATATCAGATGAATACTTATCAATAAATTTATTAAGAAAAATGATAAATAAAATAGAATAATAACTTATTCAATCATTAGTAATTATTTCTTCTTTAGTTCATATACTCACCTTTCATATCTCGAAAAGAAAACGAAACGAACAATGAAAGTATATGAGTGGCTAGAGACCGAACACAAAAGTGAAGTTCTTCAATACCTTCACCTTTCTCCGGACGATTACACTTTTGACGTTCTTTTTGACCCAACAGAGAAACATCTTTCTTCCAACTGTTATTTAAATGGGTTTCGAAGTTATTTACTTACTTTTTCGTTCCTAGCAAAACTCTTACAACCGCCGTCGAACTTTTCTTCGACAACATGTTTGGCAAAAGACTTGTGCAACGTCCTTAACACAGAAATGTCCGACCTTCAAATCACTTTGATATCTAAGTCGACCTCATACAATCAACTGAAGTCATTCGACTCATTCTCGGTGACCGAGACCGACTCCATTCAAGAGCACGTCATCGCCGCAAACAATCACGTCTCCCCCAAACACCCAAATTCGATTCATTTAAATGAACAATCGACGTCGCGGTCGAAGAGTAAAGGCTCGGGAGATATCATGAAGTACTTTCAAACTACACAGCCCTTCAAATTGCCAGATACCTTTTATAAGACTTTACTGCCGTATTACAAAGTATCGCGAATATTATTAGTCAAGGAAAATTCACAGTACACGCCGTTCAAGTTCGCTCCGACGTCCGGGTGTTATCTGCGCGTCATCGATTCGTCGGGGAAGGACGTATCCGTGAGTGTCGAGATTAATAACCAAATTAACGTCTTCGAGGAGTACGACGAGAAGAAGAAGTACACTATAGTCCCTTTCAAATTAAAGCGGAACAATTACTTGATTAGGACGGAAGCAACGGTCGTTATCTTTTCGACGGTCCATGAGACGCAAGAAGACCGCGCGGATCGGCTGTATATGTACTTAAAAGAGAATAAAAGGTTTGTGAGTTCGAGTGGGATGGAGAGTAGTGAAATTGAAGAAACGTCGCGATTGGTGAGTTTGAGGTGTCCGTATTCGATAGTTAAAATGAAACACCCCGTCAGAGGACAAAGGTGTACCCACGAGACATGTGTCGATATCTTAAGTGTCGTGTCGTTCTGGGAAAAGCATTGGACGTGTTGTCAATGTAACAAACTGATGTATTGGGAGGATGTGGTGCTGGACGTGAATTTAGAAAAGATCATACAACAAGCCCCCGGAGATGCGGAGTTTGTCGAAATCTGTGGGGAGAGTGTAGTTGCGTTTCTCGATGGGAATAAGAAAAAAGTCGATATGGAGACGAGTGGAATTATCGACGTCGATAGCTTCAAAGTGATGGAGGAAGAACATAGAGTGGAGGAGAATAATGTGATCGACGTCGATAATTATGATTCATTTGAGTGCGAAGAAATCCCCGACGTCGAGATGGTTGAAATCAGAAGAATGGTAAAGCAAGAGAATCAACAAACGAGTAAACAAAGTCTAAGTAAGACAACTTCAGAGGCCACAATGCAATTTGACTTATCGGCAATTGAAAATGAATAACTCGGCACATAGAATCATCTATCAAATCCAACAAAGAAAGGGAGTTCTATTACTAAATTATAATTGTACTATACTCATAAGGTTTGAATTTCTGTGGTTGTTATAATAACATTTTAAATAACATTTTATTTGTTTTTTTATTTAAATAATTCTTTTCGTTTGGGAATAGAAAACTCGAATCGCCTCGTAAAGTAATAATGGAAATATTACAACGCTATTTGTTTAAATTATCGGGAATATGCGCCAAAAAAGATATTGGAATTATTTTATTTGCAAAAAATAAACAAGATAATTCTATTTCAAAAATCACAATCTTTAAATCTATACATTAATAATTTGAAAATATATTAATATAGTTTTTCATTTTTTTGATAAAAATAGAAAGATCTAATAATTAATTACAATTTAGAAATAAGAAAAAAACAAATTTAAATCAACTATAATACTATAAAACTATAGTACGAAAATAAATAAGTTATTAGTGCGAAAATCAACAGATTTATTGTTTCCAAAGAATTTTTAGTTCTTCTAATTGAATTCGATTGTTTTGGAAAATTCAAAGAGTTACCGACTGATAATGAAATAGTAAAAAACTGGATTATATTAATAATTATCCCAGAATTGTGCGTTCGAAAGGCTTCACACAAGAATTGTCCAACCGAAAAAATTCAAACACAAAGAGAGAGATTCGACACTTTTATGAGAGATTCAAATAGTATGTAGATAACTATAAAAAGCTATAATAATACCAAATGAAAGTAAAAGAACAAAGCAAAACAAGAAATACCAAAATAATGGAGGTATTTAAATCTTAATAGAGATCGACTATTCAGATGTTCTTCTTTGCCTGCTTGATAGCAGTTTCTTTGGCGTCTTACGGTGTTGATGTCTCTCAACCCACCTCCGCCTCATCCATTCAGTGCCTTAGAAACAACGGGTTCACTGGATTCTTCATTTGCAGAGCATGGTGTTCTCCGGGATACTTCGACTCGAACTCCGTATATACTCTCCAACAAGCCCAATCCGTTGGATTTGTGAGTGACACTTCTGACGTGTACTTCTACCCATGCCTCTCTTGTGGTAACCCAGAAGGTCAAGTCGTCGAGTTCTGGAATAACGTAGTTGCCAACAACATGAAGTTCAAGAGAGTCTGGTATGACATTGAAGGTACATGGACAAGCAGTGTCTCAACTAACAGAGACTTCTTCGAGAGAATGATGGGCAAGTCTATTAGTTATGGTATTGCAAGTGGTGTCTATGCCTCATCTTACTACTGGGGAAATATCTTCGGGTCATACACTTATAGCAATGCCGGAAGCGTCCCATTGTGGTATCCACACTACGACAACTGGGCCTCATTCGGTGACTTCGGTGCTTTCGGTGGATGGTCTTCTCCATATATGAAACAGTACAGAGGTGATGTTTCTATTTGCAGTGCTGGTGTCGATTACAACTACAGAGCTTAATTTTATTGCTTTCACTCGATTTATTTTTTATTAATAAATGTCTCAAGTCGCTTAATCGAAGTTTTTTTGTTATTTCTATTGCTAATTGAAAAAATAGAAAACTAATGGTATGCGAATTATTAATTCTGTTTTTAAAGATATTTGGTATGCAAAATGGGTTTTATTTTTTGAAAAAAAACGGCATTAGGTATAATGTGAAAAATACTGAAACAATGTTATAAAATATTGGATGGTTTTATCATCATAAGACAAAATATAAGCATCAAAAGTCACTTAGATTCCTAAGAAAGACAAGTCGATAGCTGGCTTGTTTTGTTGTGCTGGTGCCTGTTGCTGAACTGGCTGTTGCGTGGGTTGAGGTGATCCTCCCAAATCAAAGAAGCTTGTGGCTGGAGCTCCTTGCTGTTGCATAGGAGCGCCTTGTTGAACTGGTTGTGCTGGGCCAGCCATATCAAACAAACTCATAGCACTTGGTCTTTGTTGTTGTGGCTGAGCTTGTGTTTGTTGAGCTGGTTGTGGATGGTCGTCGAAGTCCAACAATGATTTTGAACCTCCTTGTGTTGTGTTGACTGGAATTTCGTCGTCGTCGTCGTCCTCAGAAGAGAATGCCTCTCCAAGTGCGTCGAGGTTCTTGAAATTGAATCCACCCGCTTGTGCCTTCAATGAAGAAATAAAGACCTCTGGTGGTTTATGCAACAATGAAGCAAGTGACCCGATGTGTGGAATCAGCTTAACCAAGACGGCTTGATCAAGTTCCTCTGAGTCGTCCTTAATGATTGGCTTTTCTGAGCAAACCATTTCTTTAGCCAAGTCTGGGTCATGAGCCAGCAATCTCCAATAAAACAGTCCTCTATCTCTCAAGTCGGGGTTGTCGCTTTGTGTGCACATGGTGAACAAGTTCTGAAGAATATCTTGGTCTTCGAGCGATGCCTTCAAAAATGCTTTGACGGTTGCAGTGAGTAACTGGAGTTGAACGTTGACGTCTTCCTCTTGGAATGTTTCAAGGAACATATTAAGCAAATCCGCAACGTTTGTGATTCGATCGGAATATTCACCAATAATCCAGATCATCGCAGCCTTCGCCTCAGGCTCATCAAGCGAATCCAAGTTCTCGCAAAGTGTTCCAATGACCTTTTCGTATCTGTTCGGATATCTTCTGAAGATGTCTCTGATGACAACAATAGCCTCTTGAACAATGTAATTAACCTTCGTGTTGATAAGATCAACAAGAGTGGAAATGCATTGATTGGCAACATTCTCGAGTTTAATTGCGCATCTTCCAAGCGCTCGAACCGCCTTTCTGACAAACTCGACATCGCCCATCTGAGAGTAATCAACAAACTCAGCCAAAATTTCTTTGATGTTGTCCTTGTTCGCCAAAGCAACGATGATCTCCAGCTTCTCGACTTTGATGTACAACGGGTCGTTGTATTTACAATAGAAAATCTTGACGTCGTTCACAAGTAACTCCTTGCACTTCTGCAAAATGAGTCGAATGTTTCTCAACGCGACATATTGAATCTCAAATGCCTTCGATGCCGACATTAACGTTCCCAATGGGGGAGCAATCTTCTTTAAGTACAACGCAACGTTTTGTTCCGACAAATGTGGCAACATCACCAAAATGACTTTGACTGCAGCCAAAACGACAGCCGAGTTCGCGGCTTTCAATCTCGGAGCAACTTGTTCACAAATCGATTCGGAAATCTGTGTGTTCTCTGGGACATATTTGGAGATGGTATCCAAGATGATGACTTGTCCCCATTCATTCGCGCATTTGTTCAAAGCAGTCAGCAGAATATTCAAATTGTCGGAGTTGACCTCAAACACATCGTGTTTGTCCGACATATCGTTGATTTCGTTCAGCGCAGCAAGTGCGTTCGCAACGACAACATGATTCGAGTCGAAAATGAGTTCCTTCAGCGTCGCCAAAAACCCTCTCTTGACGCATTCCTCTTGATTCAAAAAGTAAAGTTTCGCAACACACATCGCAGCAGTCTTTCGGACATACGGGTCTTGATCTTTCAATGCTTTTTGAAGTGGCGCATACAGCTCTTCGGTGACTTTCGGGACTCTGATGGCTCCCATAGTTCGAATAGCAAGGGCTCGAACAATCGGATTGGGGTCATTACAGTCTCTCAAGAATGCTTGAATGGACTTAATAGCATTGTCCTGTTGTGTCTTTGCGTAGTTCATGATGTACAAATACGCCAACTTTTTCGCGTCGATGTTTGGGGTTGTGACGCATTGTAAGACTTCCCCAAACAAAATCCCCACATCTTTCCCTTCGGTCATTTGTGAGATGACGATTTTCAACCCATCGATTCGAACATTCTCTTTTTTATTCGTCAACATCTCTCTGAGGTCTTGTGTGTCCGCCACCTTTGCCTTTTCTTTCTTTGACATTCAATTTGATTTTCTAGTTCAGTTCTCACATCTTCCATCCTTTCACTTCGAACTTTCGTGATTTTCGTAACTATTTCAAGTTTTTATTAGTTCATCGTTCTAGTTATTTGTTTAATTCATTTTTACTAGAATATTGTAGATTTCTTTTTATTATACTTTATACTATTTTTATAATTATATTTAGTCATGTGTCTGTTAAACTATATTATAATATAATTGTATTATAATTTTAATATCAAAAAAAACATTGAATTACGAACAAAAAACAAAATAGAAAATACACAAAACACACCTCTATATTTCAAAAAAATTGTCTAAGATATTCTATTACATGACCATTTTAAATGACAAAAAAAGGAAATACGATTAGTGTTGTTCTTGTTCAAGCAAATAGGTGAGTGACTTGTCCTTTTCGACCAACACCTTTTTCAAGTACTTTACCTCAGCCTTAAGATCTTTAATTTGCATAGTGAGTGCGGTCATGAGCATTAATAATTCCGAGTGTTCCTTGACAATTCCATTTGAGTATGCGTCGAGTTCGTTCAACAGTTTTGTGTATTTTCGTTTAGTGTCTGGTTGTGAGTCGAAGTGGAGTTCCATCAACCCCTGACTTTCGCTTGATAAAAATTCCAACACGTCTTTCCATTCGTTTTTCACGCGTTGGAGCAATTCATTTGACGCGCCAGGTGTCACCCAAACCAATTCGACTGGTTGATCCAATTGTAAATCTCTGAGGGACGTTAACCACGTGTCGACTTGTTCTCTTAATCCCTTCATCTTTTCCATCAACAGTTGTTTCCAATTTTGTGATGGGGAGATCCCGTTGTCTCCGGAGTCCCCTACAAACCATTGGAAAGCAACAGATAACGTTTTCATTGAGTCACCGTCTTGTTGGCTTTTCGATTGCGAATGGACTAACGCAGAATTGATCGTTCGCAAAAATATCAAATTCTTCAGCGCTGACAACTCAACCGAAGGAGTTCTCTTGTGAAGCTCTTGAGACACTTTCGACATGAAATACGTGAACCCCGGCGGAAAGGTTTTGCACTCGACAATGTGTTGAAGAACAGCTTCAATGATCTGGGCCATCTTCTCGACGGATTTGTCGACATCGGGACTTAAGACGTTACCGATGACTAACTTGAATTTGATCTGCTTCATGAACTTCTGAACGATCGCTACTATCTCTTTCAAAAACAATTTCAGTTCGTTGTCGAGGAAAACTCGAATGATTCGAGTGAATATCGAGTTCCGACGGAAGATAGAACTCGGCGTTCGGAAACACTCCTCAATCTCACGATCAATCAAATAATCAATCAGATCTTTAATCTTCTCGTGCTCAATGTAAAACGAAAAGATCATTTCAGTGTTTTTGGAGATCTGTTCCGGCGTGTTCAACGTCGAGCAAAAGTGTTTTAAAAGACCAGCGGGAATGTCGTTGTTCAACGGCAACAAAAGCTATTCCGTCAATCTCAATCTGAGTGAATGAGTGAGAGATAATTAATTCTTTCAATAATAATGATTTTATTTAATAATAACAATTGTAAAATATAGTTACGTCGTTACCACTGAATAACACATTGCGAAATTACACAGAAACTAAATACAAACTGTGTCTAAAGGATTTTCGAAAATGTTGTCTTGGATGGAGTTGATATTCATATTGTGTTTTGGCGAAACTGAAAATATTTTTTTTTATTTTTGGGAAAAAAAATTTCGTTTTTAATTTTTTTGTTATTTTCTTAAACTTTCCCACATTTTTTCCCTCTAAATTCCCTTTCATTCTTCCTTTTTACTTATATTATATCACATATAGAATAGTACTAAACTGAAATAGTAACTCAAAATCATTTTGAGTTTTTCGCTTGTGATTTTTTTTTGAAAAAAAAATCACAAGCAAAGAACTGCAAACCCATCAAAAAACGAACTCAAAAAGAACTTGAAAATACAAACATGTCGGAGTCGTTGAATTATTACGAGCGTCTCGACTCACTCAAATCACTTAAGACGCCCACATTAGAGCAGTTATTTGTTTATTTAGGAGACCAAGATCCCTCAGTGATAGTGACTGCATTAAAAATGATAGAGCCGAAGCCGACTCCTTTTTTGAAGGATCCGCTCTTTGAGTTATCAACACATGTGAATCCGTCGATCCGTTGTTGTGTTCTCTCGATAGCACCGTACACTTTACAACAACAAAGTTCGATCGAATTGATACAGAAAGCGTTAAAAGATGACAATTCCGATGTTCGTTTGACGGCATTGACTTCCGTTCAAGTCTTACTTGACCAAGTCACCATGGAACAATTTTTCTCGTTAGCCACCGCTGTCATCGACATGATGAATGACCCCGAGTGGCGTGTTCGTTCTTCTGTTCAATTAATGCTTCCACAGATAGTGTCATACTTTGGTCTTGAATTATCGGAGCGAGTGGTTTTAGTGTTAAAATGTGGGATGAAAGATGCTTCGTTAGAAGTGCGAAAACAGACAGTCCAGTCGATGGCGGATATCGTCGAGATGTTTGGAGTCGAGTGGGGGAAGTCATATATCACTCCTTTGATTATTCTCTTCTACACACATCCAAATTATAAGATAAGACAATCAACTCTAGCAGCTATGGTAGAGGTCGGATATGTCATGGGAAAGGACGCATTCACTACGAGTTTCTTACCAATGATACTCAATTTGGCGTTTGATGTTGTACCTAATGTCAGGCTGACAGTTTTACAACAACTCAGAGTCTTAATCTCGAAGAAATTTTTGGACATCGCAATTGTCAACTCAAGAGTAGCTCCTTGCGTTGAAACGTTAGCTAAAGACACGGACGAGGACGTCGTCGCAATGGCTAATAACCTCAAACCTTTGCTCAATACAGAATAATCGACTTTTACAAGTACCTTGTTGTAGAATTCTATAACTCTTCATTATAGTTCTCTCCCGTATGAAAGGAAATACAAATAACTCAGTTATGCTGTGACTAACTGTTTGATCACTTCTTGAATTGTGAACCGTTCAGATGGGGTTTGTGCCCAAGTGTGAGTGATGATATCGTAATACTTTTGGGGGACGTTTGGAGTCCGTTCGGGTCGTTTCCCACTGATGATAGTCTCTGCGATTTTCCAGGAGAAAGGATACTCACTCTTCGGGAATGCTGTTCGCCACGATAAACACTCGAACATTGTTACACCAAAGGAATAGACATCAGCTTCTTTCTTATAATGTTCTTGATTCAATATCTCGGGCGCCATATACACGGGAGTACCTATTCCTTTAGTGAATGTCATATTAGTCATTAACATATTAATATTTCTTGATGATCCAAAGTCAGTCAGTTTCGCTAAAACATTCTCTTTGAGATCATAGGAAAAGATTAAAATGTTATCTGGCTTGATATCTCTATGAAGGATCCCATTGTTATGTAAGTATTCGATCCCTCGACCAGCATCTATTAAAAAGCGAACGCGAAGTTCAATCTTATGCACCTTCTTTGTTTTAATAAGACTATATAAACTCCCATGTTCCGCAAACTCAGTGACTAAACACGTCTTCGTTGGGATGAAGACAGCTCCATAGAAATGAATGATATAGTCACTTCGGAATTTGTCTAGCATCTCAACTTCATGCTCAAATTCATTCATCGCCTCTTCCGTGTTATTCCCTTCTTTCATCACTTTGATCGCTACTTTATTCCCTCGGAACTCACCCGAGTACACGACACCAAAGGAACCTTCCCCTATTTTCGTGTTCCGTAGTAATTCTTCCGGGTTCAGTCGGGAAGATATACCAGTCGATGCTTCTAACCCGATTTCTACACTCCTCCCTTTCCCGCTGTGAATGTTTTCAACATGAAGTAACATGATATCATCAACATAACACATACATAATGGCGTGATACAGATGTTAAACTCACAACCCTCTCCCTTCTTCAAAACTACCAAATCGGGAACAACACGGATCGAATATTTCTCTGGAACATTCTTTGTGGTAAATTGCATTTTGACAAGGGGTTCAGTGACATTCCCAACACAAACCAACATTTTAGTTTCGACGCCGACTGGGATCTCTTCATTCTCATCGTTGTAGTCTAAAATAGTATGATCGATAATAAATCCACCACCAATGTTTTTGAACTCCACATTCGACTTATCAATACGGAATATCGACGTATTCTTCTCTTGAATTTTCCGTCTTTTCCGGTCAGTCAATACTCGAAGAATGTATATTATGAGTGTAATTATCGAAAAAACAAGTAATATGAAGAAGAGAATGATCAACAAGACAACCCACCACACCACATGGGCCTCACAGTATTGACCATATGAAACGGGTCGATGCCAAAATGTGCATTTCGTGCATTTCGAGTCACGTGCTTCCACACACTTATCTACAATTTGATAATTCACACACTCATTATTCTCAATGATGTAACCGTCTTTACATGAAGTGCACATTTCATCATCTTCACATGTCGAACACGTCGTGTTGCATTTCTTACATTGATTCCCTTGGTATATGTAATATCCATCGACACATGCGGAACATCCATCCGACGTCACTTCTTTTTGACACCCTTCTACCGAACTTTTCAAGAGACATTCGCCTACTATTGTCATGAAGTAGAGTGGACCACACGTTAAACAAGAATTGCCATCTAAGCACGTTCCACAAGACTCTTTACATTGAAGACACGTTGTTCCTGTTTTGTAAAACCCACTCTTACACCGCACACAAAATTGCCCGTCAACTGAAATTTTGTCACACGAATAATAAAAAGTATCGTTCGTATCACACGTGTGGTTCTTCGTGTTCAGAAATCGGTTTTCGGGACATGACGTGCATTGAGTCGTTTTGTTGTAACAAGACGCGCACGTCTCGTCACACTTGTCGCACTGCAATATCGAATTGGAGAAATACCCAGAAATGCACTTGTGACAACCGTTCGAAGAACTTTGCTCACACAACGTGTCTTTACTTGTGACACACTCTCTGGTATTGTCCAAGATCTCTCCCGTTTCACATTTCATGCAAACACCATTCACAGAAGTTCCACACTTCCCAGACAGTTTGTAACATTTCCCATTCTCATCCATTTCATACCCAACAGTTCCACATTGAGATTTCACACACGTGTTATCAGAAGACAACTCGTAAGTACTGGAACATCGGAAACACTTGACCGAGTCACACAAGTCACAGTTGAGATATTTCGTTAAACAACTTTTACACGTCCCTTCGTCCAAATAAAACTTCGGTTGGCAACTGATGATGTGGACATCGTCTTTAAGAGAATAATCAGAAATTTCAGTGCAAGTGCCACCAACGTTCACATATGAAGAATTTGGCGAACACAGAGAGCAAAGGTTCATCGCCACAATTTGGCAGTGATCATCGGGGATGTAACACTTCTTGTTCTTGCCACCAACATATCCATCGTAACATTTAACACACCACTCACCGTTTGCTTGTTTACAGTTCTCATCAGAAACGCACTTCTTATCGATTTTGATAAACCCGTCCTCACAAATAGGGTCTGTCTCATGTATTGTATTTAACGTGTTGTTCGTTGGATTGTAGTAAAGATATTCATACACTTTATTACCGACTATATATCCATTTTTAGACATGAAAACAAGCGGAATAGTTGAAGATATCACACTCACTGTCTTTGGGTTCACCTCGTTGTTCACAATATATTCGATGAACTCCACGCCACTCCCATCAACTCGATACGTTTCCTCGTCAATAGAAAATTCAATTGAAGTTGCCAGTTTTGTCGGTAAACTATTTTTACCATGTAAAATCATTAGAGCGTCTTTGAATAAGATAGTGCTGTTTCTCACCATTTCACCAAATGTAATTCCAGCGCCGACCCGTTGCATTCCAATGACTATTTCATCAATGTTAATTATGACAGAGCCAAGTGTTTGATCAGGCACAGCCACACAATGTATTCCAGTGCATGGACAGTGTGGTTCTATATATGAAGCATCCGCCACTTCATTCACTTTCATATGGCAGTACACAACGTTAGTTGGATCTGAAGCATTGCCGTATCGAAGTAGTCTTCTTTCTTGAAGTAAAAATGTTCCATTTGGGAGGGGATCAATAGTAATTGGATTCGGCGACGATACCAAATCCAGTGTATCTCCTTTGACTTCCCCAATTTCGATATGTTCAATGGTGTCGACAATGAAGAGGGGGAATGCTCCAATCACTCGTTTCTTTAAATCAATGATATTAAACGACGATTTTAATGTTTTGCCCTTGATGAACGAATTGCCATTTATTTCCACGTTACCTCCAACGGCATTGAACGTTTCAAAAGTTGCACAGTTCATATTATTCTCACTTTTAAGTACCAAAGTGGTTCCGTTTTCCATTACAATATCCTTTATCGCAAATAAACCATTATCTTCAATAACAATCATCGAATTCTCTCCAAGAGTGACTAACCCACTTGGTTCCGTTTTCGACTTCCCACAAACTTTCAAAAGAGCGTCTCCACTCATCGTGATGTTTATTGTAATTACAGTTGACTCTCCATAACTCGACAGTTGTGATTGATCGATCATCTTTATGTTGGTGTTCACATTCAAACGCGATTCGTCATAAAGCTCAATAGAGCCATTTCCATTCATTTGTAACGTCTTTTTCGTCTCAAAAATGCTCTCATTGTAAAGTGTCACAACTCCCCCACTGACTATGTTTTGCGCCGAACTTGTCGAACTCAATTTCGTTTGTGCAAATAAAGCGGTTCTTTGATTTTGTAAGAACGATACACCACCACATGTAATTACGCTGGTATTAAACAAATTGAGGGACATATAATTCGTCATAGATAACACAGTAGTTGCTGTCATTGTTGTGTCGTCGTACATATTCATTGCACCGCCGTTGAGATTGATGTTCTTCATTGTCATCAAAGCATGATCTTTCAAGGTGTAAAAAGCTTGTCCAGCCACTTTAAAATTGTTAATTACTTTAATTGTCACAGAACCCGCAATTTCAACAACAGCAAAGTTGTTCAAATTAAACGATTTTGTTGTGACTGCGACACTTTCATTCAAGAACGCATTTGCGTTGACATTGATATTAAATGAAGAGGCAATATTGACCTTCACTCGTCCCATCAACCGTACTTCGCAACTTTCCGCCACAGTGACTGAACCTGCGGCTTCAATAGAAGCGTCATCTGTCATACAGAATAATGAATCGCCATAAATATTCAAGTCTCGTGTTGATAGAGTATACTCTATTTTACTTGAATCTCTAAACCACACGACTCCTCCTCGGAATTTTGGATTAATAACAGTTTTGATGTAACTCTCGTTTCTCAATGTCAAACTGACTTTGTCGTACACCAAAAACGAATTTGTGTCAATGAAAGACTTCCCCGTCATTACTATATTTGATAGAACAAACGCGTTGAACGCGTCTTGTAATATGATGGAGGAGTTCTCTGTTAATATTAATGAAGCTCTTCCTTTGAAATTAAGAGTCGTTGCATTGATCAGTGACTCTTCATTCATTGTTGCTGAGGAATTGTCATAGAAATCGACTGTTGTATTGTTTTCCGTTGTAAGAGACGAGTTGTCTTTTAAAGTCAACTCACCCGTTTTAGAAACGACGACGCTTTCTATGACATTGACACTAACGCCTTGACTTAACACCAATTTGCTCTCCTCACCAATAGAAAGTCGTATTAAGTCGCAGGAGTCTGTGATCGTATTCACACCACTGGGAACATCATAGAATCCACCACCGGTATTCTCGCATATGTTATAAGTTTTGTTGTTAAACGATTGTGAGTATGAAGTGGAGAGAAAAATGAGTAAAATAAGAGCCATATGTAATGCCATGGCGTTCATCAATAATATTCAAATTATAATTCTAGTTGCTCTTAATTTCCCTTTCCGTTCCGTCGAAGTTCTTTTCACCAAATCAGAGATTTTGCATATTTTCTTGGAATAATTTTTTATAACATATTTTTCCCATGTGATAAACTAGTTAAGTCTGATAATTTGAAAAAGAAATCAACAAATTCTAATTCTGGCACTTTTTTGTTTTCAAATGTTGATCGTTTTGGTATTTGTATTCCAAAAATCTTTTATCCCAAAATTTTTGAGTTTTTTGGAGTTTATGCTTCAGAAAAGACCAAATTCAGTTTTTTATTTGTATTGGTAATAACAATCTCAAAATGCATTTAGTAATGAGAAACTATACAAAATAGAAAGACATATTAAATAAAATAAATCAAAAGAAATAATTTAACAAAAAAATGATTTATTTGGTAAAAAGAAATTAATTGAAAATTACAATTCAAATTTGAAATCAATACTTAAATAGTTTGTTCCAAGAATGGAAATTTCATTGTTTTTTTAATAATTAAATTATAATAAACTAATTCAATAATTTTAGTTATTGTTCATTCGACTTTTCGTTGTTGAGTCATTTTTGAAAAAAGAATAACATTTGAATAACATTTATTGTGTTCTTAACTGAAATGAGTTATTCCTCAATCAATTTAAGTTGTCTGAAATTGTTTCTAACGAGTGGAGCAACGATATCGACTATATCTTCGACATATCCAAGGACAAAAGCGTGTAAAGTATTAGTCACGACGAATGATGCGTCCTGGCAGATTGTCATCATTTCATTTGCGACAGTTTCATCGCCATACACGTCATGTTTTCCATAGACGAAGTGCATTTGGTCCTTCATACTTTGAATAAAGTCGATGAAGTCTTGTTGATACTCTTTGATGTGTACACCTTCCTCTTTGCAGAGTGATAACATTTGTCCAGTGATTTCTGGAGTTAATCCATCTTTAATAGCTTTGATGTATTGATGTGGAACATCAGAGAAGATATTAAACACAAACATAACGACAGAAAGAGGAACAACTTTCATCAAATGTGTCAAACAAGCCAACAAGTAAATGAAGAGATAGGACCACGTCAGAACTCGATATAATGTAGTGAATGTGGGGTACATATTTTTGAGTGCTGGGAAAAGGGAGTAGAATCCAATAATTTTCTCTTTACACAGAGAAGATGGAAGTTGTTTCAATGCGTTGAGTGAGATGTAATTCCCAATGGAGTGCGCAAAAATTATGAACTTCGTGTTGGGATATGTCGCAAATAAGTCCTCGAAAAAGCGTTTCTTCAATTCGACAGTTTCTGATAATGTAATTGTATATCCCGCCGTCTTCTGTAATGACGATATAATAACAGGACTTGGATATCGTTTAATCATCTGATTCGCAAAGTCTTCATACAACTCAAGTATCGACGGGTTGCCAGGTACTATAACATAAGCAATTGGCGAATTCATTATATTCCCTTTGACTAAACATGGCTGTCCACTCACCACTTTCTTCTCAAACGACATCGTTTGCTTATATAGTTCTATGTAGTATTATTATAGTTTTTAATATCAATAACACTTTATTATAAGATAAAAAATGTTATTCGTTTAAAAAAGTTTGAAGGATATCAAAATCAACACAGGTCCAAAAATAATTTGCAATTATGGGGTTCGATGACATTGTAATAATTAATTAAATATAGTACTTTTACTATATATATTATTGTTATTACGTCTTCAAAATACTTTTTTCAATTCTGGGCATTTCATTCTGTTTCTTTTGACAAATCGCGAAATTGGAAACCCTAATTGTTCCAAAAAAATCAAATGGTTATTTGATTTAATATAATAAATTATAATTTATAGTAATAATACTTTTTAATCTTGACCATAAAACAATTGTTTTTTTCTGTTGAAAATGCCGAGTGTTTTTTATCAGTAAAAAAACGCATACATAATCGGGAAACATCGCCGAATCACGCCACTATTATGCTCGTTCCACCAACAATTCACTGAACTTAGAAAACTGGACATTTCAGTTATAAAAACCTCAAATAGTTTTATTTCAGAGGAGAAAACAAGAACAATTCCGAAAGAGAGATCCTGATTGTTCCGGACAAATAGGCGCAAGATGACGAGAAAAATGATGAAAAAAGACAAAAAACCCTTTCACTAAAAAAGAGGTCTCATCTCAAAAAGCACACACGGAATGGATTATCAAAAATGCTTAGAAATTATTAAGTCGGGGAACATCCTTCCCGAGAACGACTTCAAAAGGCTTTGCAACGCCGTTAAGTCTATTTTAATTGAAGAGTCGAATGTACAACCGATCTCGACACCGGTCATAGTCTGTGGTGATATCCATGGTCAGTTTTATGACTTGTTGAAACTCTTCTCGATTGGTGGGGATCTTCCCGAGAAGAGTTACATCTTCTTAGGTGATTACGTCGACAGAGGAAGCCAAGCGATTGAAGTGTTTTCATTGTTGATGTTATACAAAGTGATGTATCCAACACGTATCTCCTTGATGCGTGGGAACCACGAGAGTCGACAAGTTACGCAAGTCTATGGCTTTTATGAGGAATGCGTTAAAAAATATGGCACCGCAAATTCATGGAGATGGTGCACTGAAGTCTTCGACTATTTAAATATCGCCGCGCTCATCGACGGAAAGATCTTTTGTGTTCACGGCGGTCTCTCCCCGGAAATTAGGACCGTCGATCATATCAGAGTCATCGTTAAGCGTAACCAAGAGATCCCTCATGAAGGTGCATTCTGTGACTTGATGTGGTCCGACCCCGATGACTCAATCGATGATATGAAACCTTCTATGAGAGGCGCTGGCTACATCTTTGGGGCAAAACCAGTGTTGGAGTTCTGCCAAATTAATAACTTGGAACTCATCGCGAGAGCCCATCAAATCGTTCAAGAAGGGTATAAATACCAATTCAACGACAAAATGGTGACTGTCTGGTCCGCGCCAAATTACTGCGGAAGATGCGGAAACGTCGCTTGTATCATGAAAGTCGGCACCGACTTGAAACGCGAGTTCCCTATCTTCGACGCAGTGCCTGAGTCGGAGAAGCCAGTCCCACCCAGAACTACCCCAGCGTTCTTCGTGTAGACATAATTCAGTCGATTCAATTGGTTGGTTACTATTCAATTATAGTAAAATACTAGTAACAAAACTATAAAGGAATATATGAGAGAATGTCTTATTTCGTCTTGAGAAGCTCAATGTTCTCGTTGAGATATATACGATGCATCACACCTTGCTCGATGATGGAGTTGCGTGCACTATTGTCAATACAAAGGCCCGTGTAGAGGATGGCTAGGGGTCAATACCATTCCCATTGAAACATACTATAAAATATAATAAAACAACTAGAATAAAATAGAATACCAACGACAAACTGTTTTTGTCTTCAAGCTTGTAGTGGAGGATCTTTGTGGTGTGCTCGTCCTTTCTGTTGTAGTCGAGAAGGATTTTCATCCACTTTCCGGTGATTGACCCCGAGCCATTTTCTATGAAATCTGTGGGTCAGCTCAAGTGCTTTTTTAATAGTAAAATTATAGTAAAACAAACCATCTGAATGGAAGGCGAAGTCATACTCCTCGGCTTCGCTCCTCGCGTACACTTCCATTACCATCGTCGGGTATGTTACGTTCTTCTCGGGCATCTCGACGTCGTTTGTTGTAGTCCAACGATAAAATCTGTGACATTCGTTTGTTAGCACATCATCGCTCGCAATCTTCTGGTGAGTGAGTCACTTGTATGTGTAATAACAAACATCTATCACTAAGTTCTTTGCATTCTTCTCGGGAAAGTTTTTCTCAAAGCCAAAAACGCGCTGATTCAATTTCCAGGTTCCTACAAGAAGGTTGCAAAAGTCTTGGATTTCTTTGGAGACACGACGCTCAGCCATTTGGTGTTAAAAAGTACTTTTATTCGAGTTTAAATGGAACTAGTATTTTATAATAATGTTGTTATTACTATATAGTTGTTAAAAGAATAGTAGTAGGTTTATTAAAATAACCAGAAATATAAAATTTGTCTTGAGTGACAAATGTCATCAATTCAATTTATGTGGAGTCTTTTCACAACCATACGTGCGGGAATTTCGTTGGTTTGGTTATGCAATTCTTCTCTGATAAATTGTGTCAAAGTTTCGATTGCACTAAAAGGGATTTCGCTGTAATACAATTCTCCAGTGATTGTCCTAGAAACCGTCAGTTTGTGGTGTTTTTCGTACATCGAGTCGAAGTACTTTTTGAAGTCGAAAAGCCCGCTTCGTTTTTGATTAATAACATCAAGAAGTGAAGCAACGCAAAATGTATACAACCAAACAGCCTCCTTTCCTGGTATGCAGTGTACAATAGTTAGGCACCACACGAACTCTATTTGGAGTTGCCTTAATTGAGGGTCAGGACAAATTCTATTTTCATTGATATAATTACCATTCATTATAGTAACGCCACTGCCTTTTTCGAAGATGTATCTCCGCAAGGAAAATGCAGTGTAGTCGGTTGGGTCTGTTAAAACAACGTTTTCAGACCATTTCAAAAGACTTTCATGTTGTAACCATTTGGAGTGATCGACGACCCACAGAAGATGTTTGTACAAGTGATAACCTCTTGGGTACCTCGCAATAACATTTGTTGTTGTCTGTACTTCACTCAAAAAATGTTTTTCATCCAACGCCAAATTTCCTAGGAGATGTTCTCTATAATAATATATTAAAAATCCTTTGTTGAATATTCGAGTGAGACACTCCGTAAATTTGAATTCACTTTCTTTGTCAAGATTAAGCGAAAATCGTGTTGTCCAAGCGACAGAACAATCGGCATTTATCATTAACAAAATGGTTGAATATAAAATTTTGTTATTTGAAATGTTTTTTAGACAATAATCATAAACCACTTTTTGAGTCGAAAAGTACATTCCAAAATGCTGTTCTTTCACATAAAAAAAGTTGTTTTCTATTTCGCTTTTGTTTTGTTCAGGAACTTCGTCTTTTGTAAATTGTAAGACGCCAATATCGACAAAATCCCATGGATATATAAATGACGAGATTTTGTCTATTTCGTCACAAATCTCGTTTTGTTGCATTTGATTTTTTTGAAGTTCAATTGTTCAAATCAAAAAAAATTTTTGGAGATTTTTTCTTGAAACTTTAAAAACCAAAAATAATGAATCAAAATGTACAAAGAAAAGATCTGAACAAAATTGTGATTGTGACCATCGCGATCTTTGCATCGTTTTGTTTAATTTCACTCTTTCGCTCAATTTTAACACAGGAAAAGCCTCATTTTGATATTCCACAAACCGAAAATAAAGAGATCTATCTTGATTATGCAGGGGCTGCTGTCTATAAAAACGAGCAAATCGACAAATTTTCAAATCTTTTAAAAAATCATTTTTACTGTAACACTCGTTTGTTTCGTTAAATATGATATGTTAGAGGAATATATATTATAATACTATTATAATATATTAATTAATAAAATAACTATCAGACTCTCCAAATGTGTGTGGCCTTCGAAGTGCCGAGGAGCTAAGAAAAGCACGCAAACTAGTTTTAGACTTTTTCAGTGCGTCGAATTATGAAGTTGTATTTACAAGTGGATGTACTGCTGCACTTCGTTTAATAGGGGAATCATATCCCTTTACGAATTCAAGTAGTTTTATCTTCACTGAGCAGAATCACAATTCCGTCTTAGGTATTCGTGAATTTGCCAAACTTCGTGGAGCATCGTTCCAGTCATATTCCACCTTTGATGACATCGAGACCAAGGTGAAGACGAACACACAGACACTTTTTGCGTATCCTGCGGAGAACAATTTTGATGGTGAGCAATACCCACTTGAGTGGATTGATCAGATAGAGCGTCATGCCAATTGGAATTGTGTCTTAGACGCTGCTGCATATGTCAGTCATTCTCCACTCAATTTAACACAACACACCCCATCTTTTGTGACGTTATCCTTCTACAAAATCTTTGGATTTCCAACAGGCATTGGCGCGTTATTAGTGAGGAAAGACGTCATCACCAAACTTAGTCCAATTTACTTTGGAGGCGGAACCGTCTATTCCTCTTTACCACAAACAGACTACAAAATATTTTATAGTAAAGCACCAAAGCTTGAAGCAGGCTCATTGTCGATACAGACAATCGTCGCGCTTCAATTTGGCTTTGAAATGATTGCCAAAATAGGCGTGACAAACATCCAGAAGACAACAACTGTGTTAGCAACACGACTAGCTCATACCCTTCACTCAACCAAACACCAAAATGGGAAAAACGTGTTTGAGATCTACGGAAATTTCTTTACTACGAAACTGCAAGGCCCGACTGTCACTTTCAATGTCTTCAATGAGAAGGGGGAGATGTACCCAACAGCCAAATTAAATGCGTTTCTTCGAGAAAAGAAGATCAATGTGCGGACAGGGTGTATGTGTAACCCAGGATCATGTCTGTCTGCCGTTGGCATTGATATACAAGATTATATGAGTCATATGACGGGGATACAAACGGATGGACTTGACCCTGAGTCATGTTTGGATATAGTCATTGGGAATAAGGAGGCGGGTGCAGTGCGAGTGTCACTCGGGTATGCTACAACACAAAATGACATAGTCGTCCTCGTTAATGCACTTCAAGAATTTTTACAGAGTAATGGGTGGGTTGGGGACATCCATCTTGATTGAATTGAATAATATTGTTTCCATCAATCAAGTCGAACAAATAGAAATAGAAGCAGTACAATTATATCTCTGATGTGATCCCACGGGCTTTCAGTTGTTCTCTAAGTTCTTTCAAATCGACACTTTCATTGGTCAATTTGTAATTTTCAACATCTTCAAACTTTAACCCGTTCAATGCAAGAAGGTCACAAAAAGCTTTTGAGCCTAACAAATCACGTTTGATGTCTTTAAATACAACGGGGTGTTCTAAATGTTGAATTTTGTCATTAGCAGCATCCAATTGTGTTTTGTAAAAGCGAAGTCGGCTGTCGTATTCTTCTTTTAAAACTTGAATGTACAACTCCTTCTTCTCCAATTCAGTCATTTGAATGTATTAATTAAACCCTAAATAGATATATTAATCATAATAAAATATATCTATTATATATCTATTCTATGATATATATAATATAACTTCTAATATATTATAATTAATTAATATGAAAATTTGAATTAATTAGAACAAGTATCCGAACACCACTGCAGAAAGAGGAATGAAGACATTGTCATAATTGGGGTACGAAATGAATTCCACAATAGCACCAACAGCTCCTAATATGATCGACATCACGACATACGCATTCCCAAATATAACATAGCACATCCCCATTGCTCCAAGAGCTCCAAATATCCAGACGGCAATAGCTCCTTCAAGTGTTTTAGTCTTGCCCCAACAATTCTTGATTTCTGTCTTGCCAAACTTTTTGCCAATCACTTCAGCCAATCCGTCTCCCCACAGCATCAAACTGCAACCTAAATATTAGTGTTATTCTATTCTCTATAAATACTATATAATATAGTATTATATAGTATAAGATATAGTATATAAAAGTATTTATATAATACAGAAACATACCTATTACAGAAGCTGGATTGTTTTTCCAAAAGACTAGGGAAAGGAAAGTCATTGTTATGCAATAGTTCAAAGGGCCATATAACATCTCATGACAATCCCCATGTCTGCACACCGTTGCTATTAAAAAGTCTGCCATCTTGCCTTGGACCAAGCCAAGACCAAAGACTAAGAACACAAAGAGATACAATAAACAACACATCGATCCCCAGACACGTGCACTTGGTTCATCGGGGTAATACCCCCATAAAAGCAATTGACATGTCCCAAGTGAAATGTGAACTATTTTACGAGAGGTGTAACTGGTCACAATACCATTCTTGGAAAGTAACGTCGCAATGAGTAGACATAAATTCACAAGTAACAGCGAAGTGATGAAGAGAGCAAAGCTTGACATGTTTGGAATGCTATTCAAGTTTAGGTTTATATAGGGACACAAGATTTTCCCCTTTTCAAAATCTGAAGTACAAAGAAAATTGGGCAATTACTATATTTTTAATTCAAATGACCTAAACCAAAATCGATTCCATTTATGGCAATTCTATTTTCTTAAGTATAGTTTTTTATAACTTTTAAATAATAGAAAAAAACAAGTTTGTTATAATTTAAATACTATAATATATTGTTTGTGGTTATTATCTAAAATAGAGAAACAATTCTTTGTTTTTCAAAAATAAGATTGTTGTGGAAATATTAATTATTCATTTGTATCTGGTTTTGATACTATTGATTATTAGTATTATAAATTATATTTTAGAATTTGTTTTCGATTATTGAAAAAGTAATTTAAAATAAATGAATTGATAGTTCAATATGAAAGTTTGATTTTTAAGTTCATTGAAAAAATAGTTGAAAAAAAGTTGCAGATTTTTGACTCAATTTTTTGGAAAAAAACATTTTAATTATTTTTAGTAATAAATAATTTGATTTAATTATTAGTACTTTATTAATAATTTATAGAAAAACTATCACATAGAATTGTGATAGTTTTTCTAAATACCACTAAAATGAGTTGAAGTGGTATTTAAAAACTAAAAAAATTATTAATTATACTTTAAATAAAACTGTAATAACAAATAGTATAATCAACTAATACTTTCTATAAATAGAGAACGTAACCGAATACTTAATTATTCTTTGTAGTCGTAATTTGCCTTAGTGTTGCAGACGTAGTTATTAGGGGAGTATCTTTTTGCGGTAGGTTTAGCCCACCCTCCGAATCTCCTGAAATCGCTGAAACTTGGATTGTTATCAGAATTGTAATAGAAGAGTGGTGTTGTTCTTGCGTTAGGGCATTCATAAGTATCACCGAAGACGCCTTCCCAATATTTTTTCGAGGTGAAGATACCAAACGTCATTTTAGACTTAGTAGCTTGTGCGATCATCTTTTCGAAGAAACCTTGTCTGTCTGGGATATCCGAATACCATCCGTCAATGACGTTCAACCAGATGCAATTCGGTTTCAATTTATTAGAAGTGACGTTCCCATAAAACTCGACAATTTGAGTTTCTGGATTTCCACAAGTAACACACGGCGTAAATAAAAGATCAACTTGTGCCTTCTCAAAGCCAATGGACCACGCATTTTTGACGGTAGACGCAACGCTCGAGTAAAACTTCCCCGTGTTCGAGTCCGAGGCAAGGAAGATAATGAAATCACTCGACATGTTTTTCAAGCATGCAATTCCTGAAGTAGGCAAGACATAAGTGGTATCAGTGCCTAACAGTGCTGTTGAGAGTGACAATAAACAAGCAAAAAGCAACATTGATTTTGTAGAACATCTCGAAATCTATTCATTGTAAATATAATTAAAATATAGTTTCTTGTAATTAATCTTTCATTCAATGTTTTACTTGATTATTAAAAAGGTATAGTAAATTTAATTAAAAGAGTTGTAATCTTTCAAGAAATGACATTTCTTTAATATAATAATAATTATTTTATACTTATGTTCTATATTTATTTCAAAATAAATTTAATTGATTGTTTAACTATATTTATATAGGTCAAGTATTAATGTTTTTAATAATCTCAACAATTATTAATTCTTATATTAAAAATTATTATACTAAATGGTAATAAAAAGCCCAACAAGTAGTTTATGATATGAAGTCGTCGATGTTGTTTCCATGACTTTCTTTGTCTGCTATGTTTTCTTCTGTTTCTTCTTTAATTGGTTTATTCTCCGTTTCTTTTATTGTTGTATTTTGATGTGTGTCTTCGTCATCACTTTTTGCGTCGTCGCCAAATGTCGGCATCTCGTCATTTGAGTGATAAGCCTCTTCCAATTTCTCTTCATTATCTTCCTGAATTGTTTCTGTGGACTCGACTTTTGATTCACCTTTTTCTTCTATTTTTGGTTCCTCTTTTTCTTTCGATTGTGACATATTTTGTTCTGTATGTTCTTCCTTCGTCTGTCCTTCTTCGAGTCCCACCTCTTCTTTTTGCACTTTGACTATTTCGTTCTCGTTTTTTATTGCCGTTCTTTTTTCCTCGTCTTCTTCTTGTTCAGTTTTATTGTCCAAAAAGAACTCCTCAGCCCCCCTCATATCATCCAGTTTGATTAAATTAATGGGTGGTGTAATTCTCACGTCCTTTTTATTCTTCTCTCCTCGAATTAAAATGATTTCTACTAAAGCATTATATTTGAGTCCTTCTTCATCTTCAAATACAAATGATAAGTAATAGTTCACTGAAAAGGTGTCAGCCACGTTACTTAGTGTCGGTGTCAATTCCTTAATTCGATTCAAAAATATTCTGACGGGCACGGTATCTCCTTTCACCAGTTGTCCATCGGCCAATTCAAGTGTTTTAAGTACAGTGACATTCTTCTCAACTGGAGGTCTTCCCACAAATTCTTTTCGAATTAAGTCGACAGACACTTTCGATACATTCACGCGTAGAACGCGCAAATACAAACACCCCATCACAACGTCTTCTAACGCGTATGTATTCGTTTCCAACTTCATTTCCATTTGAATGATCTTTTCTATCCCAACTTGGGTATTAACGGGAAGGTGTTTGTATATTGAGTCGTCCTTCGGTTGTGGCAGAGAGACGGCAAACTCATATTCAACGGGAAATATCGGGCTTTTAGCCAGTATCACCACTCGCAGTAAATACCTCAATCTTACATATGCACCATTATAAGATTCGTAGTGTGTTATAGGCGAAAACTCAAATGAGTACATCGCTTTCTCAGAACTCATGACGCCTGGGCCACAGAGGTCAACCGCAGTCTCAAATAATGTTACTGGTTTCGAGTTGTTTTGACACTCTTACAGTTAATTCCTTAATTCAAATATTAAGTTGTTTAATAATAAATTTACTAGAGTATATAGTTCATTGAACAAACCAAAGACAGAGCACATCGTAATGCGAATTCCGTTGTGCAAAAGTGGCTTTTTCAAATTCCCCATTTGAAGAAGAACTTTTCCTTTAACTGAGTCTTGTGGACCAAATTGAATCAATTCCTTTTTTTCATTCTTTCGAACGACAAAAACTTTTGGCTTCAATTGGTCGTCCTCAATCATTATTTCAGCAATGGTTGCTTTGTTCGATGACCCAAAAAGTGGCTCCACGTTAGTGTATTAGAAGTGTTGTTTAACTATAAACGTTAACAAACCATCAATGGGATGTGTGATCTTTTCAAGTTTTCTTCTTTTATTGAAAATTTTTCTGCTAAAAAGTTGGTCGAAATTTTCTTTCAACAAAGAATTTATAGAACAAATAAGTTTATTAGTATGAAATAATACAATTTTTGAAGTTATTTAAGTATTCCCCGTTATTACATGACGGAACAATCATTTTTGTTTCATCTTTTTTTTAATTGTATTTTTAATTAAAAAGTACATATTATTAATATTTATAGTTTTAAATTGTAAATGTGTAAAATTCTTTATAAGTATAAACTACTATATTTTTTTGTTATTATTAATGTTATTATTTACTTAATTAATTTATTATAAATTATATTTAAAATAATTTATATTACAGTCGGGGGATAAATAGCATTAAAAAGGGACAAAGGTAGTTAATTTTGATAAATATAATTTTGAAACTATAATTTTTAAAAAATCTATTTAAAGGTCAAAATAAACATAAAATTAAAATATTAATATAAATTATAGTTTTTTAATTTTAAATGATTATAAATTGAATAATTATAAATTTCTATTTCAAAAATAAACAAAAACACCTCAATTTGTTCACTTAGAGAAATGTGGAAGTCTAAAACGCAGCACTTTTTGTGATTTGTCTGAAACTTGTTTTGTTAAAGGATTTTCCTTTGTTTCGTTTCTTTTCTGCTCTTCTTCAACTCCAATTGTTTTAATGTTAAAATGGTCTTTCTCTTTTCCTTTCTCAATGGGAATGGTTCAACAACGAAAGATTGAAAGATTTCAACAAATGATGGATTTTCAGTGATTCTGTGACACTTTAAAAGATTGACATTGTAGTTAATTCATTAAACTCTGGCATTTTAACCATATACATCGTGAATATATATTGAAATACAGTTTTTAAACTGGTTTCTTGTATTTAAATTGCTTTTTTGTGTTGATTGCCTGTGGTTGTTTCATCGAGGGTTCCTTTCTCTTCTTCTTCCATTGTTTTCAAAGATTGAATAATATTAAAATAAAAAAGTTATAGTTTTCTTTTATTATCTTCAAAGTAGTTAATTGAAAAAACCCTTCTAATACTTTTATGGTTAAAGAAATTATATTTTATAGTTTTTTCCTTAAATTAACTACTTCTGTCCCAAATTAACCCCCTTTAATCACCCGACTATAATATATTATATATATATAATAAATTAATTAGTAAAAAAAAGTTGGTCAAAAACAAGTAACAAAATAAGTAAAAAGAATTATAATTATATTAATTATTATAATAATAATTTACAAACTATTTATTTTTGGTTTTAATTAAAGACTTTATATGACAATTTATTTAAGTTTACAAGAAGCATTTGTGGTCTAAGGGCAGAATTCCACCCTTCCAAGGTGGAGATCCGGGTTCGAGTCCCGGCAAATGCATTTTTATTTACAATTTTAAAGAAACTTAAAGTTGTTTATTTTTTATAAACAACTTTGAGAATAGCTGTTTTTCAATTAAATATCTACACTAGGGG